CGTATGATAGTCTAGTTTTACTTATTAACGCTTTACAGGCATTCCTAATCTTACAGTAACTGGATCTGTATTGTTCTAAGCCAGTAGAGATGAACATATCCCAGTGATTCTTCCTTTTTCTAAGGAGTTTCCTGACCGTTTTAGTTATCCATGGTGGACTATTATTCGGTCTTCGCGGTACCAGGTATGGTATGAACGGGGACGTAACTAGTCTAAATTTACCTTTAAATACAGACCATGCTTCTTCAACTGATATACTAGTATCTACTAAACAATCTGTCTTAGCAGCACATTCCTGAAAAAATCTGTGCTCGGTGTCACTTGAACACTTGGTGCAATGCACAACACCGACCAGTGGCACTGCCTTACCTAGTCCCACCCACATCATAGCTGTTCACAATCACTCGACTCACAACATAACCAACAGGTGACACTCTGCACATTCTCACAGCGTTTCGTGCCATTTGAACACTTGGTGCAATGCACAACACCGACCAGTGGCACTGCCTTACCTAGTCACATTCACAGACAACATGGTCTCACAGTATGCTACTACTCTGATGTATGCTGATCAGTGTATTCCTAGTTGTTCCTCAAATATATACTCAGCTTGGCTATCATCACTAAGTACAACCCTAACAGGCTTTCTTGCAGCATCTTTCCTACGTCCAGTAAGACGCATACAAATACGTGCTCGTACTAGAGGATCATGTGAATCCAAACATGTGCTTCACAACAAGCGTCAGTCTTCTATTCAGCCTCTCCACCGATGGCTGATAGGAATACTTTAACCTCCCTTTATCCCACTCATATCCATCTTCATCCTACATCTATTTACACTGTTATTTTTTCCACTGACCCTGCTCACGCTCATTTATCAACCGTCTTCTCTAGTTAAAGCATTCCAGGTCACCGAATGTTATCGGCGATTACTTGATGCTACACTGGAAACTGCGTGATGTAGCTTTTAACGCCCGAATACTGAAGCAAATTCCACAACAGATTTCCTTAGCTAGGACTTTAGAATATCGCGCCGTCTTTGTATACTTCGTCACCGAAACGCGCATAGAGGATCTGAGTAGTTTCCGTTATTTGACCTCACCATATCAGGATAGAGAAGCATCTGGATTCATACCTTGTGCTGCTCCACATTGTCTTGCTGTGTTAGGTATAGCATTAAGTCATTCCTTGGTCAGAAGTAGCTCTCTTAGACTGCATCCCACTAGACAATCGTCATATATATATATATATATATATATATATATATATATATAGATATATATATATCCTCTTAAATTGTTTATTATTGCTCTATATGTACATAATCCTCTTAAAAAGAAATTAGATCTCTCTTTATTAACTATTCTAAGCTAAGTCGATATATGTACTCATACAGTAGTATGATATTTGAGGGATAAATGATTTTTAAGTGATATGACTCAGAATCAATCAGTGAGTTACTTTCTCTAAATCTCAAATACATTATTTGTTTCATCTTCTTTACCTATTCAACCTAATTTTGTGTGTGCATAAGGTGTATTTACAAGTTTTATCTTCTACCTCATTGTCATTCAATCTTTCACCTTCAACTGATATATATCTTTATATTGATGGGAGTTACTATTGTAATGAACGAGAACACAATTGAGGATAATCGAATGTATCTGAACACAAAATTACAGAACAACATAGAACCATAGTGTAAATATATAATTTAAATAATGTCAATCAATGATTGTTCCTTTTGCAAATATCAATCTATCGTCTCAGACTTCATTGTTCTTTCGTTTCCATACCAATCATTGTTTGTTCTCGTTTTCTTTTCTTTAATCTCAACTTTCTTCCTCTAGGTCTTTGCTATTTTACGAACAGCAACAGGCGTAAGTTTGTCAGCTGACTTTATCGGAATGGTATATTTAAGTGATTTAAAGCTAGCTACAGCAATTTTCATGTTCAAGCTAATGTCATGCTGTCTCGGTTTAAGGATCATGTCTCTTAGCCATATTCTCTTATAGACCTAAGAGGGGGTTCTGAGACAATCAACATTATCATACATATTTCTAGTGCCATCGGTTTGGTTTGAATTTGTGTGGTTTAAATAATCAAGTAATCAAGTTATGCTTTCGGTTGTACTCTCATTTACTAGATTTAAAGAGCTTTAAATTCAAATCACATTTAATTTTTACCTCTAATCCCTTCATGTCTATCAACTAGTACAGCGGAGTCGGAAAACGGTCCAAAGTTACAACGAGTTGCTGCCTCAACTAAGAGTTCCAAAACTTCCACTATAAGTATAAAAACACATGCAAAATCGTCAGGCGTTCGTGGCAGGAAATCGATTTCGTCTGGTGAGGTGGCAAATCGCAAACGCCAGGAATTCAATGAACTTGTTGAAGCCCGCACTGAGAAGCTTATGTCCGATGGTCCCATTGCAAATGCAAGTATTTTATTTTTACTCCACATTCATAATTTCTCATTGATAACGCTTTCTTGCACCGCAATGTTCTGCCCTTATAATTACTTTTACACTTACTTCACACTTTCGAATTTCGTTGATATAAAGTGTTGCCTTGCTGTCCTAGGTTATGCGTCAGTTCAGTCATTTTGTTATTTCGCAAGTTCCCTATTATATTAAGCAACAACATTTTCATTTTCAGATCTCTATTAAAACTATTATTCATAAACATATGTGGTGATTATGTTCACGAGAATAATACGGTGACTTTCACTTGTTATGTTTCCGTAATTCATTATGAGTGGTGCACGGGTAAAATCCTGAATAGTAAATGAAATGTACCCAGGTGATAGATACTCCTGTGACCGAAATATTGATGTAGCTCTTCAATAAGCTGATATCAAAAACCAAGACAACTGCCCACTAGAAGAGATATTTTTAAAAAAATAAAATAACACGTTGATGTACAAAGTATTGCCAGAAAAATAAGTATAATCCAATACTATAGGCGAGTATAGTAAATCAATTTTGAAGGTGTTTAACTCTACAACGTATTAAGACCTTCCTTATCATATCAATACTCTTCAGAAATACACCTTACTCTTACATCTTTTAAACTTCTCTGCAAATCAAGTTTTCATCATGATTGATGTAGTGTTATCTGGTTTACTAAATATTATATTATGATTAGAAACAATCTGTAATCTTCACCAATCTTCTTCTATTAAACAACATAAATTCTTTCAGTATTTCCCCTAATTTTTAAACAGAATGATTCATCAAAACTATAACCACAACTATCGTAATACTTTTTCATTAATAATTAAATATTCATTTTATATTAAAAATGTACTGTATTCAGATTCAACGGAAATGTTTATTTACCACATTCATAGTCTTTTTAATGACACAATAGTATAGTCCATATTATTATTTTGACAACTGTTTCACAATGTTTTAGAAATTCTGTAGCGTTGCCAACTTCATTGACGTTTGTTGTGGGTACACTACTCGAAAACCGATACCATGCAGATAATATAATATAGTCATGTTGAACAGAAACTTAATTCTTCCGTACGGTCTACATGGTAATCCGAAAATATCTGGGCGATATCTTATACATCTAAACTCAGAATACTGCCTTGCAACTTGTTTATCTCAATGGTTAGGTCGACAGTTGCCAGTAAAGTTGAGTGTGTGTGTGTAGTTGTCGTCACTTGTGTTAGAAGTCTGTGCAACCTTGGTTATTTCATAGTTGGTGAAATCTTGTTATCGATTTCATTTTCATCAAGTTGATTCATCTTCCCCACAAGTGCTTGTTAAAAACAAAAAACAGGTGTGCTGTTCAGTGTTTCGATCTGTACTGCATTACTAGTGTAGGGTGTTTTCTTGGAATATAAACTATGTTTGCATTACAATAATCTGGTCAAAATTATCATGAAATCACTACCCGCGCATGTTGGAACCACTGAAGTAGTTCCGAAGTTAAGCAGATGCCACTGCTGTTTCCACAGCTTTTCTAATATCATTCCACGCTGCCTCGAAGTGAGCATCACTTACATGGCTGCCTAATTGTTTTCACGAAAAGCGAATGTAGTGCACAATGTTATGGGGCTTAAGTTAGTATGAAATAATAATCATAAGCCCATGTAAACATTTGTTGTGCGAATAAAATATTTAGTGTAACTTGAATCATGAACTGGATTGGGAATAGAACTTGTAAATGAACAAACTATTTTTACGAATGCTTATTGTGAAATTCAAATCACTCTCTGATGTTGAACTTTCAATTTTTTCTTTATAAGACAAATCTTTTTCGATGTTAACAGATGACTGTTGTCTAAAGTTGATCTCTTTAAGATATTCCGTTTGTATACATGTAGGCAAGATTATTTCATATATTTGTCCAATGAAATGGTATATAACGTAAACGTTGTAATAAGAGCAAGAAATAAACGTCTAGAAAAACAAAACCCCATTCTATTTGGTAGTAATGAATACATTCAGTGAGATAAAACCCACGGGCGCAGAAAACTTATACAATATACAATAAAACTACATAGCGCGGAGAAAAATAATAAACTACACTATCAGTTAACCAAAAGGAACATAATCGTAAATGAATCTTTTCAAAGTTATTGCTTTTATTATCGTATCTAGAAATTGAAACTAACATCAATATTTGGGAAAGTAAAACGATTAACCGCAAAAAAATAATGTAGATAACTACAAAACTGACATCAGAACGTTTATTGGTGTAAAAAATGTCAGACTGCAGAGCGTAGATTCGCAAAGGAGTGTGTGTGTGTGAGAGAGAGAGAGAGAGACAGAGAGAGAGAGAAATAATATAATGGAGTACTTACATACAAATTCATTTTATTGTTTATTGTTTCTAAAAAGAAAGTAACTAAAGAACATCAAACGGTAATCTGTTATTTATTAAAAGTAAATCACTCCAGTGGTAACGCATTTTATTCCACGGTAATTTTTAAAATGTTAACATCACAGAAAACAGCAGAGACATATTATCACAGTTACATATACTTCACGATAAATTAATTAGACCATGTTGTACAGAAGGTTTCTGGTTATTAACGTAATATTCATCCATCTCACCTTGTTCCCGAATATTATTTATTTCATACCGACGTTGTTCATCCTCCATATGTGCACAATATGAGTAGATGCCATACAACACGAGTAATACAGCACTGCTATCGCCTGCAACAATTTCTTCAAGTTTTGCTGGAGGTTCAACCATACCAGCTGCTTGAATAAGTTCAAAGGCTAGTTTAACATTTGATGTACACAATTCTTCTGTTGTTGGTGTTGGATGATATGCATGAAATGCTACAAAATAGCCATCAATAAGACCCATTAAATAGAATAAGTAAGACACCATCTGTAAACTAATGATCGTAGAATGAATAAAATGGGAGCATTTCCTTCAGTTAATTATAAAACTAAAGAAAATAGATTTTACAAAACTGTGTAACTCGAAAACCAACCAGAGAGTCGTACAATACACTAAGTTAAATTTATTAGGTTACAGATACATGTATCATCTGTATAAAAAATCTTTGGTGTGAACCAATAACATCAGTCAATCAGTCAGTCAGTCGGGTACAACGTAGGACCAGGCACATATATGCATCGATCCAAGTTGCCATACCGCATTAGCACAGCAAGATGAACACCGGATTCATAGGAGTAGTTAAGTCAATAGTGCCAATATATGAAAGATTGCATATAAGGATATAGTACAGGAAGAAAGATTTAGTACATAGAAAGGAAGATATGAAGCGATTTTAATCTCTTAGTTTAAGGGAAGACAGACAGTGTATACACCGACGCCACTGTGATCGATTCTGAGCCATCTCACCAAGAGTCTACAACCGTTGGTTACGATAGTCACGTGGACCCTAACTGAGTAGTCTGCATCTACCAACATGGCTCAGACCAGGTGTTAGTGTCTTCAAGCACTAATGCCACGTTTTGGTTTGGCCACCCCTAACTTTCTTCCAACCATCCCCAACACCCGTTAGCATTGCACGTCGTGGTAATCGGTGTTCAGGCACACTCAACACGTAGCCCAACCATCTCAGTCGATGAAGACTCACAACCTCATCAACTGATTTACCATACCCTATCTAACCTCACTGTTACTTACCCGGTGATACCAGCAGATGCAAGCAATATTTCTAAGACATCTGTTTACTTATTTATTTATTTAAACATATAAACATTAGTACAAGGAGGCACCAAGTAGATATGCGCCACACAAATCATTCGACTTGTGTGAGGGCTGGGATACTGCCCGGGTGCACAGACCGAGGCAGGTGGTTTTCTTAGGGGGCCACACCCCAAGCCTTTGACCTAAAGGTCTAACCCACAAGGCAGTGGAGCATCGTGAGGAGATCCAGTCCCATGGTGGCCGGTGGCCAACGATTGGTTCATACGCCATTTGTTCCCTCAGGATACTGGAGCCCATGTGCAACATTGATTTGGTTTGGGGTCCGGTTAAAGCGCCGGACATTCGCTTTTCGTCCTCCCATTTTCGCAAACAACACCCCTGTCACGAGAAGGCAGTGAGTAGGACTTCCCTGGCAGAGGCTGTATACGCGTGGCCATGTGAGAGCATTTCGAGAGGGGAGGCGGGCCCACCCCACTCTCGGCCATACCAGGGCATTTGGGGGCAAGACATCTGTGGTCAAACACTAGTAGCTTACGAGTGTCTTATACTCTTAATGGCCATGTTTCGTGGCCGTAAAATAGAGCAGAACGAACTGCCGCGCAGTACACTTGTCCTTTTATTGATAGACGGATATCTCGCCTTCACCATAGATGACGTAAGTTAGCAAAAGCAAAACGAGCTTTCCGAATCCGTGCTGAGATTTCGTCAGACACCAACTCATTAGGGCTACTTAGACTTCAAAGACAAGTGAAGTTGTCAACGCGTTCGACTACTTCACTCCCTGTATTTAGTTCAGATGTTGACGCCGGCCAGTCCTGGAGCAACAACTTGCATTTAGAGGGAGAGAAGCTCATTCTAAACATTTTGGTATGGTTGCTTAGTGCCACCAGAAGACTCTTCATTTTATCAGTGTCTTCACCAAACAGAACTATGTTGTCTGCTCATTCCAAGTCGACAAGTGGACCTCCTGGAAGGAGATCAATACCCGAGAATTCAGTCGACGTGAATGTTATTTCCATCAGTAGGTCTGTGATGAAGTTAAACAAAAATGGAGAAAGTGGGCAGCCTTGACGGACGCAAAAGCAGATGACAAGTCGCCATCAGCTCTGACTCGACTAGTGGTGTTCGGGTAAAGAGCCCTCACAAGGTTTACGTACTTCTGAGGTACGCCTTTCAATGACAGGCACTGCCACAGAATGTCGCGGTCTACGGAGTCAACTGCTGCTTTTAAGTCAAGAAAGACCACCATTGTCGGACGCCGATAAGTATGCCTGTGCTCTAGAACCTGACGAATGGTGAATATGTGGTCTATGCATCCATGACCAGGTCTGAAGACAGACTGATTTTCTCGTGTCTGCAGTTCACGAGTCTTAGTTGGGCGTCCAATAATTATCGAGGCTAGTACTTTAGATACTATATTAGTTAAACTAATCCCTCTATTGTTGTCACAGGATGATTTTAACCCTACCTTATATATTGTGACGATAAGTGATTGTGACCAGTCAGATGGAATAACGTCCAACTCCCAGATCTTAGCCAAAATATTAGTCAACCTAATCGCTAAAATTGGTGCACCATCCTTAAACACCTCTGGAGCCAATCCATCTGGACCAAATGCCATTCCTCGTTTCAGATTAGCTATAGCCTTTTGAACTTATGCTAGAGTTGGGAGACCTACTTCAATGTTCCATTCACACTGTCTGGGAATGATGGGTAGTTGTAGAGTAGCTGGAGGCCAGCTGAACTGCTTTTTAATGTGTTTCGCCGATCTTTCTAAACGTCTGGACTGGGAGCAGATGAGTGTCGTCTTTTTCCGAGATATTCTCACTTACATTTGACTTAGTAATTCCAGTTTCTTTTATTAATCTGTAAAGCTGTCTTGTGTTCCATATAGCTGCCGCCTTTTCCATCTCTTTTGCTTTCGTTGCCCACCACTGCTCACGGTCGTTCCTTAGACTTTTGCTTAACCTAGATCTGATTTGTTTTCGCTTTTCATCGTGTTCAGAACCCGATGGGATGAGTTTACGAGAATCCATCAGTGCAATAGACCTTGAAAGGAATCCATTGGTTCTTTGTAACCCTGTGGCCTAAATCACCCACCACTTGGGAGAAGTGACCATGCAGTCATCTTATTCAAATTCATGGCTGAGATTGCCTGGCAAACAGTTGCACCGGCCCGTCCCAACATATGGAAGGCAGATATAAAGGCAATTAACTCCGCAGCATCGGCTGAGAACTGAGAAATTGACTCAAAGGCATCAGTACAAGAAGCATGGACTCTATTCAGTCAGTTATACAATCGGGTAACTCAACCATACATACCCTGGACTGTCCCAAAGTAAAAGAAGCACGGACATCCCTGGTTAGGGCGGGATATTCGACGCTTACTAAGACAAAAGAAGAAATGCTGGGATGGTGCCATCCGCCTTGGCACAGCAGGTACGATGGAACGCTACAGATCGATAAGAAACGAGTGCACAACTAAAATTCGGGAAGCGCAAAGAAAATATGAAATGCAGCTGGCACAATCTGCACTCAAGCAACCCAAGAGGATATTCTCGTACATAAACTACAGAACAAGAATTCATCATTAGATTCCCAACCTAATTAAAGTAGGAAGTGAATCTGAAATGATAGAGGAAGATCAGGAAGAAGCTGAGGTTATGGCTGACTATTTTGGGGCAGTTTTCACTCAGGAACCTCCTCTAGAGAAAGAACCAGACCCAATTACAGAGTCAACAAACCAGCTGCTCACCGTGGACTTCGACCAAAACGATGTGCTTAAGTCTCTTAGCACCCTAAACATGGAGAAGTCAACAGGACCAGATGAACTACACCCTAAAATCTTGAGACATATTGCCCAATATATCGCAGTCCCACTGACTGTGATATTCAAAATGTCACTTGACCAAGGTGTGTTACCTATGGACTGGAAGGACGCAATCGTCACTCCCATACATAAAACAGGTCCACGACAAGTTCCATCGGATTACAGACCCGTAAGCCTCACCAGTGTTGCAATTAAAATACTGGAAAGAATAATCAAACGGACCATAACGGCATTTATGGAAACCAATAACTTGCTAAACATGGCACAACATGGTTTTAGAAAGGGTATATCCTGTACAACGAACCTCCTTATAGCTAGGGAGCTCTGGATTAATGCGCTAGACAACGGAAACTCAGTGGATGTTGTCTATATAGACATCAGTAAGGCTTTTGACAAGGTGCCAACTAATAGACTGCTATTGAAGTTGGCAAACCTTGGTATTGCCGGACCTCGTTTAAAATGGATTAAGGATTTCCTAGTAGGTCGTATGCAAAAAGTAAGAATAAATTCCAAGTGCTCCATTTGGAGACCAGTACTTAGTGGAATACCCCAAGGTTCCGTCTTAGGTCCTTTACTTTTTATAATGTACGTTAATGATCTTACGAGTATAGTACAGTCTCCAATGTTATTATACGCTGACGATGTAAAAATTTGGCGAGTAATAACTGGAGACAAAGACGCATTTACTCTTCAGGCGGACTTAAATAATATGATAAACTGGTCTAAAGAGTGGCTGATGCCTATCAACTCGGAAAAGTGTATCTACATGCACTTGGGGGATTCAAAGGTTAATACGTACAACATAGGGGATGTGTCATTACCCGTAGTCCGTTCTCATAAGGACCTAGGGGTGACAGTGAGCGATGATCTTAAGACAACGGCCCATTGCCGGGGGGTCGCAGTTAAGGGGTCTCGAACCCTCTGGGCTTTAAAAAGGACATTCACCAAGTTTGATACTACCATGTTCACCACATTATGCACATCCTTAGTGAGAACTAAGTTAGAGAACTGTGTCCATGCTGCAAGCCCCTGTTTAAAAGGTGACTCAGACATACTAGATAAAGTACAGGGGGCAGCTACGCGTGCAATTCCGGAACTCCGGGGTTTATCATATAAAGAGCGGCTTGAAGAACTGAACCTCTTTACTCTGTACTATCGCAGACCAAGGGGAGATCTAATATTGATGTACAGAATACTGAGAAATGATTTCGGACCTAACTTATTCTCTCTCTTTCTTCCCACTAGATCGGGACACCTCAGAGGACATAGCAGGCGAGTAGAAAAGCCAAGAACGAACAAAATACCCGTGGCATACAGGTTTTCACA